TTGGCAGCTGCTCTAAATGTTCTGATAATTGCTACTGAGATTTACACACAGTTTACACATTTTTTAGTGATAATAAAAGTTAATTGATTCTTCTGAAACTCTGAAATGTTCCAGAACAGAGAATGATTCGGCCTTGAAGGATTTTAATAGAAATAGTTTTGGAAAGTTAATTCAGTCGTCATAAAAACAATAAATTAGCTTATTAGAGCAGCTGACGGTTCGGTTCATGTAGATAATCTACAGCTTTAGTAAAACAAGAGATTTGAAGCTTTTTACAGACTTTTCCTTTTTGTTAAATTGATAATAAGTCAGTGATTATTTAAATTACCTGATTTATACATTAAAAGCTTTGACCTAAAAGAGAAATCTCTCCGCCATCAGGATCCTGGATCAGTTTCTACTCTACCTTCATAGGAGCAGTTGCTGTTGGAGGCCAGAGACAGCTGCCTGATCTCCTCCAGCAGGGAGGGGTTGGTCCTGGAGGAGCAGAGGCTGCTCTCCTCCTCATCCTCCTCCTCCGTTTCACCAGGATCTGGAGAGTTCTCCATCATCTCAACGATCTCCTCGATTACCTGAGAGACGGAAAGAAGAAGGTGGGGGGGAGACGGGTGAGGAAGGAGATTTGGACACGGTTAAGTGCACACGGCTTTATGGTTTCCATTTAGGAGCCAAACGTCTCCTCTGTATGCATGAATGTTGTCCATTATTAATGGACTGCAGCCAGGAAGAACGCTGCGGTGTTAGATGGATGGACAGCTTACTGAGCAGCCTGACGCTCCACCCTGCCTGCTTTTATTTGGGATGTCTGATGCTGAGCACTGCAGCCAGAGCACTGCAAAACATCTACATCTAAATAACTAATCTAAACACATTTTTCTTGATTTGAGGAGGAAAGTGAGACACTGGAACAAGACAATTGACATTTAAAATGTGAATAAATAATTGTGTTGTCTCATTTCAAGTGTATATCTATTTATCTTATTTTAAGGGTAAAAATATTAATTCCATTGGCAGATCATCAAACCTGCTCAAATTAAGGGTAAATACACTTAATGTACAGATATAGAGGAAGATCTTTTATTTCCGGGTGGATCATCTAAATTGTTGGTCCTCCTAACTGTCAATCATTCTGGTGATGTGTTTACGTAGGTCGTCTTACGTGCTCGTCCCGTTTTTTTCTTTCAGGCGTATATCTGTGGTGAGCTCACCTTTCTCACCGCGGTTCTTTAAAAAGCTGAGGGTCGGAAGTGAAAAGAGTCTACGAAGTGGATAAGAAGAAAAGAATAGCCTCAGAAGAGGCAGATATATCCCAGAATGCTTTGCACACAAAGCATTATAGGATTTGCCGTCACAGCGACCCGCTGTCGGGTAGCAACAGCGTTGTTTAATAACAAAGATGGCACAGGCACTGCGCGGTAGAGGAGGATTTACGTGACCAATGGAGCAAAAAGCAGTGATCATCTGTCTGAACGGTCAGTTAACTGAGTTCACCATAAAGTTCACTATATAGTCCCTGCTGTAGGTGGACAGAGTGAGCCTATATCGAGCTACGAGAAAAGCACATTTTAAACAGAGTGTGCACGAGGAGAAATGGGCTTGTGCACGCTCTCGCACGCGCATTTTCCTTTAAAGTGGAGAGGGCGGGTCTTTTAAAAATTCCTCCACAATACCTTTGATTTAAGAATTTTTTAACATCTTTCTAGATCATGTTTGCAGGGAGAGATTTGTCCAAACCAACGGTGCGTTGGTTTGGACAAATTCTTAGACAGATTTTATTGTCACTTTGTACCCACAGAGTGCATACAAAACAAAATTTAGTTCAGTACAGCTCTCAAGACATTAGTGCAGCAGTGATAAAATGTAAACATGGTGATCAGATGTAAACATAAGACTGAGATATGATTTACAGTTTCCAACATTTAGCGTTTTTCTTTTCTTTTTAACCCGATTTTCAACAGTTCATCAGTGTGATGGCGGTGGGGAAGAAGCTGCTGCAGAACCTGCTGGTCCTGCATTGAATGCTGTGAAGCCTTCCCAGAGGGCAGCAGGGAGAACAGTCCATGGTGGGGGGGTGAGGGGTCAGTGATGAGAGCTCTGGACAATGGTAGTAAAGGTAGTGAAGAAAACCTGAACGCCTCTCCAGCATCATGAACACGTAGGAACATTAAAGACCTATCCTTCCCTCCTCATGAGGTCATGTTGGTGGTTTGGCTCCACGGCTCTAATAGAGCTGGAGGAAACAGACTCTGACTGATCAGTGCAGCGCTTTGCTAAGTGCTGAACCTGGACCTGACTCAGCAGCTCCCTCTTAATGAAAAGCTCACCATGAATCCAAATGTTCTGGTCTGCTCAGCTCTGCTGCAAATGGACACATCTAATGAAGTCACAGCATTTGGATCAGTCTAACCCCAGAAATCATTTTCATGCTTTGGAGAAAAACTGCATACATGTTTTCTCCTCATTAGTTATGCAAACAACAAGTAAATAAAGCTAAAAAATCTGAATCAGAAAGAAAGAAATGCATCTCTGACCTGATCTGCTGTAATCAGAGGCTCCTCATTCAAGCAGTTGGCGTTCTCGTTCTTCTCATTCATTTCCTCCTCCTCTTTTTCATGGATCTGAAGATCAGGAGAAAAATGCGCCAACGATTAAAGGCTTTTCCACATTTCTGTAGAACGTCAGGATTAATACAGAACCAATAAACCAAGGATTGTGTTCCAGGGTGGGAAAACGCTCCGCCATGTTGGTTTCCAAACAGAATCAGTTCTGACTTATATTCATTCACGGATGCTGGATTCAAATGAAGCCAGAAAACAGATTTAATGACCTCTGGAAACGATTAATGCATTCTCACTGCGCATCCAACAGTTAAATGGACGCACTGTAAAAAGGGAAGAAATTAAGAAAGATCTTCTTGAAATAAGTGTGTTTGCATTTGATTTAAGAAGGTTAGTAAAATAATCTGACAGTTATGTTATTTACCCTCCATTGTGTTATTAAAGTCCAGTTTATATAATTATCTTTTCTGGGGGCAAAATGTTGATTTTACTGGAAGATCGCTGTAAAAAATGAAATATAACTAAATCAACTACTTTTGAAATAAGTTTATTTTCCATTTATTAAAGACAGAATTATAATTTTCAAATTGAATAAGATGATTTACTTAAAAAAAAAGGAACATTTGATTCAATTATCTTATTTCAGGTTTAGAATACTCAGCTAGCTTATCGTAAAGAAAACAATATTCCACACGTAGATCATTAACCTGCTCAAATGAATAAATTGTATGAAATTATCTAAATAAAACATCCTTCCCTTTTTGGTTTGCATCTCCACATTATGTGGGACATTAAAAGACGGGTCAAAAGTATTAATATTTATTAAGTAGATCTATACAGTAAATCCTGTTGTTTAATAACACTTTTGTTGAAGTTAGAGGATCAACAAGATTTTTACTGCAGTAA